AATAAATAATACAAAATAAAAATTGAACAAGCAAAAATCAAAGAAGAGAGGAGGAGAAGTTGGAGGAAGAGGAGGAGAAGGAGGAGGGGGTGGAGACAATGACAACAATGACATGAGACAACATAGAAAAGGAAAATATAAGTTCAGAAAATTGTCTTTGTTACTTTGAAGTCATTTATCACAATGTATATGACTATATTATTAGTCATATTAAGCTGGAATTTTTTATTAAGTAAACATATCAATCAGAATTTCTTTGCCTGAAGAATTAGGCGATAACTATTTTATAACTTTAAGTCATTACTATCACCCCCTATTAAGTACAACAAACTTTACCTTTCGAATTATTGTATTTATTATAATAATAAAATATTTAAATATAGAGCATATTGTGTTAACAGCTTGGGCAATTTTTAATATATATTTTTTTAAATATCGTAGATGGACATAATAACTTTGTTTTATTTATTTATTTTCATGTAGTGCTGAGGATTAAACCCAGTGCCCTCACATGTGCTAGGCAAGTGCTTTACCATTGAACCCCAACCCCAGCTCAGCTTGGGCAATTTTAATAAGAGTATATATGGAAATTTCAAAGCCTGAACTCTGTATATAAGTCTCAGCTATTCCAGGAAAGATGCACATGAACATACCAACTTAGGCAAAATATCTGTATTTTATTCTTCAGACTAAATAACTGTGCTTGGTTCCTAATAGCCATAATGATAATAGCTGTGTTATGGAGGTATGGTAATAAGCACTCTACAGTCATTATCTTATGGAAGCTTAATGACACCTCTTAATAGAGACAACTCTTAGTAGAGAATGTTTCCCCCATTCTATGAGGGAATGAACATGATGAGGCTAAGGAGGTCAGAGGAGCAATGTGCCCATAGTTGCAGGTGTTAAATATGAACCATTGTTTGTGGGTTCTTGTCCACCAACTACACTGAATCTAAACTCTATACTGCATACCAAGTGAGGTTCACATTTTTGTATATTTAGTATCTGTTAGTAAAACTGGTTCAAATCTTAGAGCATAATTCACATTTCATTTTCTGGAAGCTTCAACAAGTCTTCATTGCTATTACATTGGGTTTAAAGTTCTCAGCCAGGCATGCATGACCCTGTATTTCTGGTTTCTGTTTACTACCTACATTTTTCCTACAGTCCATTCAAAATCTGTCAAACTTTGTTCCCTGAATAATCCAATGATATTTTTCTCTCCCTATGGCCTTTACTTATACAGTGGCTCTGCAAAATATCCTCCTGCCTTGTATACCTTGAAATTCTCTTCAACCTTTTATACCCACCTCAAATGTCACTCTTCCCATAGGTCCACCTTGATTCCTTAGTCTCAATCAGTACACCCTTGAAACTTTACTATAACTAACTCATTTGCAGCATCTATATTGTACCTACTTGTATTATTATTGTTTTTTATCTTATTCTTACTAAATTATGGACATTTTGACCATAAAAAAGTCTTATTTGTTTTGTCTTTTTGTCTGGAAGAATTAGGAGCTCATGGTGCATAAAGAACTGAAGACAAGCATGAACTACAAAAAAGATTTCAAGAATATGTGCCAAAAGCAGGAAATTTCAACATATGAAACAACATCACCTAAGAACTCATTAGAACTGCAAATTTAGTCCCCAACCCAGTTCTACTGAATCAAAAACTATGGGAGAGACATTCAGCAATTATATGTTTTTGAACTTTTTATTTTGAAATAATTATGGATTCACAAGAAGGTAAAGAGAAATGTACAGAGAGGTCTTCTGTACTCTTCGCCCAGCCTTCCTGCTATAATTTAGATCTGAAATGTTCCCCAAAGGCTATAAGAAGGTAGTAGAAACTCTTATAGCCTAGTGATAGGTTTTAGGTCATTGGGGTTGTGCCCTCAAAAAAAACTGTGAGATGCCAGTCTCCTCTTTCTATTTCATTTACAGTCATGAGATGAGGCCTTCCTCCAGTATGTACCCCCACAATAATGTGCTGCCTTGCCTCAGGCCCCAGAGCAACTGACTGTTGACTAAAACTCCCAAAACAATGATCCAACATAACACTATTATTAAGTTGATTATCTCAAGTATCTTGTCATAGTAGTGGAAAGGTAGCCTTCCATGTTAACATGCATAACTATAAAACATTTCAAAACCAAGAAATTAACATGAGTATGATCCATACAATTTATTCAGATTTCACATTTGTGTGTGTGTATATATATATATGTAGCACATGTGCAATTTTATTACAGTGTAGCTTCATATAAACTCTACCACAATCTAAATAGTACCCTCAACACAACTTCCCCTTGTGAGACCCCTTTGTAGCCACACCCTCTTCGGTGAAATGTCTGTGCCTGTAATTAGCCCATTTTCTAGTTGTATTGTTTGCTTTTCTTACTGGGGGTTTTAAAGAATTCTTCATATATTTTAGATTCAAAATTTTTGTTATGTATGTGACTTGAAAAGATTTCCTTCCTATCTGTAGTTTATCTTTCATCCTCTTAACAGAGTCTTAAGCAGAACAAAAATTTTTAATTTTTATGAAGTTCAGTTTATCAGTTTTTCCTTGTATGTATTGTGCTTTTGATATCAAGACTAAACATTCTCTGCCTAGTCCAAGGTTCCAAATATTTTTTCCTAATTTTCTTCCTGAAGTTTTATTGTTTGATGTTTTACTTCTATTTTGAGTTAATTTTTAAATAAAATAGAAGGTTTGGGTGGAAGTTCATTTTCAGCCTATTGATATCCAATTGCTCCAGCACCACTCATTGAAAAGGCGGTCGTTCTCCTATTGAATTGCCTTTTCTTCTCTGTAAAACATTAACTAGGGTCAGGCATGGTGGTGCACTCAGGCTGAGGCAGGAGGAGGATTCCAAGTTCAAAGCCAGCCTGGGCAACTTAGTAAGATCCCACCTCAAAATTAAAAACAAAAAAGTTAAGAGCTAGGAATGTACTCAGTAATAGAACACTTGCCCAACATGTGCAAGGTCCTGGGTTCAATTCCCAGTATTGAAAAAAAAAATGTGGAATATTTGTGTGGGTATATTTCTAGATTCTCTGTTCTATTTCATTGATCTATGTATCCATTTATGCTTCTATCCTTCCTTTAGAACTACACTGTCTTTACTAATGTAACTATAATTGTAAGCCTTAATATCAGGAAGAGTAATTCCTTCCACTTTATGATTCTTCTTCAAAATCATGGTTTCTTCAGGAACTTTTCTCTTCCCACATAAATTTTAGAATAAACTTGTCTGGTTCTACAAAAAACCTTGTTTAGGTTTTGATAGAAATTGCAATAAATTTAATAATCAACTTTGAATGGACATATTTATTGTGTTGAATCTTCCCATCCATGAACACAGTACATCTGTTCAAGTATTAGTTTCTCTTTGATGTGTTATAGCAGCATTTTATAATATTCATCAGACCAATTTTCTTCATGCTCAGAGTCATACCTAAGTGTTTCATTTTCTTTGGATACAACTATTTCTTTTGGAGCAACTATAAATGTTATTGCATTTTTTTAAATTCTGTTTTCTACTTGCTCATTGTTGGTATTCATAAAAATGATTATGTTTTTTGTGTTGCTCTTATATTCTGTGAGTTCATTAATTACTAGTTTTTGTAGTTGTTTAGTTTGTTTTGTAGCTTGCTTAGAGTTGTCTACAAATAATCCATTTGCAAATACAGCTTTATTTCTTCTTTTTTAATCTATATGCAATTTTATTTATTTCTCTTGCCTTATTGCACAAACCAGGACTTCAAGCACAATGTTTAATAAGTTTAATAAGCAGAGATTCTTAACTCAATGGTGAAAGTACAATGTTAGCTGTTGGTTTTGTTATTGTTGTTGACATTTATGAGTTTGAGGACTTCTCCTAATTTCCTGATATACTAATATTTTTATCATATAAAGTGTTGAGTTTTGTCATATGCCTTTTCTGATACAATTGTGTGATTCCTTTTTTAGTTTGTTGATGTAGCATATTGCCTTGATTGAGTTTCAGATGTTGAACCAACCTTGCACACCTGGAAAATTTTTCCACTTGAATGTTATGTATTATTCTTTTTTCTACATTGTTATATTTTATTTCTAAATTTTCTTGAGGATTTTTACATCTAGGTTCAAAAAAGATGCTGGCTTATAGTTTTCTTTTGGTGGCACTTTCCTAGTTTCAGTATCAGGGCAATATTAGCCCCCAAAATGAAATGGACATGTTCTCTTCTCTTATTTTTCTAGAAGAAATTATGTCAGTTCTTGAAATGATTGGAAAACTTATATGGGCCTCTATTCATTTTTAAAGAGTTTTTTAAAAAATAATTTCATTAGTTATTAAAAGGTTATTCATGTTATCCATTTCATCTTAGCAAAGTTTTGGTGAATTATGGTTTTTGAAGAATTGGTCCATTTCATCTAATATGCTGATTTATAAGTACATATTTGTTCAAATAGCTTATATTTTTAATGTCTAAAAGATCTCTAATGATATCCTCATCGATATAGATATTGGTAGTTTTTTCTTCTTTATTTTTATTTTTGTAAGCCTTACTAAAAGTTTACCAACTTTATTTTTTCCCAAAGATTCGGATTTTTTGCTCCATTAGCTTCTCTAATGTTTCCTTTGAATTTCATTGGTTTCTGCTCTACTGATATTTGCTATATGTCTTTTTGTTTTCTTCAGATTTATTTTTATCTTACCTTTCTAATTTCTCAAGGTAGGAATCAGTGTGGTCATTAATTTTGTCTATTTGACTGGGTTGAAGTATCCAGATATTTGGTTAAATATTATTTCTGGATGTGTCTGTGTGTGGTCTGTAAGGGGTTTCATTTTGAGGGGGGTTTTGTTTGTTTTTTTGTTTTGTTTGGGGTTGTTTTTGTTTGGAGTTGTTGTTTTGTTCTATTTTTATGTACTGGGGGATTGAATCAAAAAGTGCTTTACCATCTCTAGCCCATTTTATTTTTTTATTTATTTATTAATTAATTTTTGTGATGCTGGGGATTGAACCCAGGACCTCATGCATGTTAGGCAAGTGTTTTACCACTGAACCACATTCCCACATTTTATTTCTGTTTGAAACAGGGTCTCACTAAGCTACTTAGGGCTTCACTAAGTTGCTGAGGCTGGTCTTACATTTGTGATTCTCCTACTCCAGGCTTCTGAGTTTCTGGGATTACAGGTGTAGACCACTGCACCTGTCTCTGTGAGGGTATTTCAAGAGAGATGTGCATTTGATCAGTAGGTTGAATAAAGAAGATCACTCTCCTCAATGTGGGTGAATATCAACTAATCTATAGAGGACTGAATAAAATAAAAAGGTGGAAGAAGAAAGAGCTCTCTCTAACTCCTTGAGCTGAGATATCAGCCTTCTGAACTAGAACTTATGCTATTGCCAGTCCTAGTTCTTAGGCCCTCCAGTTCAGATTAGAATTTCCACCATCAGTTCTGAGGTTTTTCAGGTTCTCCGACCTTCAGACTCAGACTAGAACTGTCTTTTCTGGAGCCTCAGTTTGTAGATGGCAGATTGTGGAACTTTTCGCTCTTTATGATCTTATGAAAGCCAACTACTTACACTAAATATTTTTCAATAGATAGATAATCTCCTATTGGTTCTGTTTCTCTGGAGGAGTCTAACACACACACTTAGATTATTGATATGAAATATCTTTCTTATATAAGCATTAAATACTTTCGTCATTGCCTTAGCTACATCCCATAAATTTTGATATGTCTTGCTTTAAAGTTTGTTTGATATTAGGTATTTTTAAAAATCTCTTTAGTTCCTCTTTGGCTCATGGATTATTTAAAAGTTATATAGAATTTGTAAGTGCTTTAGGATTTTCCTGTTGTCTTTCTATAAGTGATTTTAACTTTATTCCATTATGGTCAGAAAGTTCATTCTGGGTGAGTTCAATTCTTTAAATTGCTTGATGTTTGTGTTATGACCCAGGATATGGTCTATCTTGGTAAATGTTCCATAATACTTTAAATATATATATATTCTGTTATTGTGGAATGGAGTGTTCTATAAATGTCAGTTAGATGCTCTTATTTGGTGGTGGTGTTCAGTTTGAAACCTCCTTTCTAGCACTCTTATCAGTTGCAGAGAGAAGTTAGCATCACCGATCAAATACAACCAAGTTTTCAAAAAACACCATACACACACACACACAAAATGATTCTGATGTGCATTAAAGTTTGAGAACCACTGGCCCAGAGCAGAGTAGTCCAGTAAACTTAGTTGAGTTGGATACAATTTCACTTTCTTGTATATTGTAGAATTGTTCTGTTATTAATCTAATACTATTTTCAGTAAGTATTGAAACTTGTTCAAGTTAGAAAGTTGGGAAAGTAAGGGAAACTCTCCACCTAATTGTTTCCTTATATGTAACTAAAATAAGCAATGTGCCCACAACTACAGTCCATGGAGACAGATTTACTCCAAGCAACATTGCACAGAGGGGAGTACCCAGAAAAATTTGAAATTTTACCTAAATCTAAATTTTAAATTTAGAGGTTTTTTTTCTTTTTTGAGACAGGGTCACATGGGCCTCAAACTCCTGGGTTCAAGCAGTTCTCCTACCTCAGCCTCCCAAGTAGCTAGGAGTATAGGTACACACTACTGTTCCTGGCTAAAAGCCAGATTTTAAATTTAATACTTTAGCCCATTATTTCTGAAACTGCTCTGTTTTTTGACATACATTCCCGCTCTGTGAATATTTATTGGTCTTTTCTTAAGGTCCAAGAACAGTACTAGATACTGACAATAGAGGGGAGAATATGGAGTTCACTATATACACAAATAATTATTATAAGAAGTATCATCAAAAGGATGCACAGCATGCTAAGATAGCATGTAAATAGCAGGCCTACCCTGTTGCAAGGGATCAGGGAAGATTTTCCTGGTTAACTGACAGAGAATCTGAGATTTACAGGATGAGTCAGGGCTGGGGTGTAGCTCAGTGTTAGTGAGGTCCCATGTTTCATCCCCAACACAGAAAAAAAACACACTCACATAAAAAGTTAAGTCTGATGTTGCCAAATGATAAAGCAGAAAATGAGTGCTATCCTTTGGAGCTTAAATGTCCCCCAAAGGCCTGATCCCTTTATACCACCATTTTATACCACTAGTGGGAGGTTTTAGGTCATTGAAGGGGACGGTGGGAACTCAGCCCCTCCCCTTCCTTTCACACCCTAGCTATGAGGTAAACACTTCTGCTCTGCCACATGTTCCTGCCATGATCTGCTGCTTCACCACAGTCCCAAAGCCATGGGACCAACTGATCATGGAACTGGACCCTCCAAAAAGCTGAACCAAAATAAACCTTTCTTCTCCATAAGTTTATTATCTTAAGTTTTTATTACAGTAACAGAAAGCTGAATAACACAATTAGGTTGAAATTCAATGAAACTCAATTTGCCAAGGACTGAAAGGAATAGTTGAGCTTTTGATCTTATGCTGGGAGTGGAATAAAGATGCATCAGCAAGAAAGTCCAAGGCAATGGTGAGATCTCAAGAAAGCACTCATCTACCTAAAGTGGGCTCTGTGGAGCACACAGCTCCTAGCCAGCCCAAGTGCCTCTCACCAAGTGAATGAGACCAAGCACCTGTAAAATCACAATGAGCTTCATTTACCGAACCCAGCTATGTTCTGGGAACAGTACCAGGAACCTTTGAGCATTCACTCTTAGAACTTCTGGGGTCTGCCATCAACTCAGTTTGGTTTCTACTAGAATGAAGGCCGTGGAGAAGTCATATTTAACCCGTAAATGGTAAAACAAACCAATTTTGAATTTGCCTCGGTTAATCCCCGGGTACTGGAGGAGGATAAGATAGTAACCCAGAGAAAAGAAAGAAAATTAACATTTGTCAAGTGCTTACTATGTGCCAGGCACTAGACTGAGTTTTGCACGTCTTATCTGTGTTTTTATCTCCTGGGGTATGAGTCCTCCCAGTACCCCAGGAAATGAGCATGATTTTTCTCATTTTAAATCATATGGAAAGCAAGAGTTGGAAAAGGGGAGTAACTTTCTCAAGGGGAAAGCTAATAAACTGCCAAGTGAAAGCTGAATTCAGGCTCTTGTGTAAAAGCAAGGTCTACATGAAAACAAACGGCAAATACATAATCGGGTCTGCTACCCTGAGAGCTGCGTTCCATCCCAAAGACATTAGTCTTTTTTTCTTCCACTTTCATTGTTGATTCTTTCTCTTCTGTCCTCCTGGTCAACCCTTGATTTATTCTAACCCTCCCTCCGTGTCTTCACCTATCCGATTCTCCCCCTTTTATCCACTGAAGCTCCTTCTGGAATACCCAGGCAGGATTCCCCCCCTCTCCCCCGAAACTCTAATGGGATGCGGAAGATTCATAATGCCAGCTGTGTCAGTCCCAAAGAATTCAAAGCCATTATTTTATCTACTTCCTTTATCACAGGGATGTGGACAGGATCTCAGGACTCAATGGTCTAAAGGAAACATTTTTAGCCCTGCTGCTGATATATTACTCTGTTTCAAGATCTTATTGCTGTTGTATTGGTATGATTTTATTTGGATTCTAATATGACTTTGGGGGAATATGAGATCAGTAAAACATATTTATGCAGCTGCAATAAAAGAATTGAGATGGCTGCGAAGGGAGAAAAAGGGAACAAAACATCAAAAGATGCTGAGAGTTACTGTGGATACTCTATTCCTGTCATCGGGACGGAGCACATACAGGAACAATTTCCTAAATTATACAGATAAAAATTGAAAAGCCGAAATATAATTTCAGATGGGAATAAAACCGTATGTAGTGTTGTTGTTCTTGGGGTTTTGTTTGTTTGTTTTTCTCTGTTCTAGACAGAAGATATACAAGCTCCAGAAAACAATGTTTTCCAAGTTCTGTGTGCACATTTAGAGTGACTTTGGATTTTAATCAATTGTTTAAAAAAAAAAAAACACAATCACAATTCATCTTTTCAAGAACAAAAACTTTTAAGTTTTAATCTAGTCACATATGTTAAGATTTTGTTTTGTTTCTTATTATTCCGAAGCCAAGCCCTTGTCCCAGAGCTGTGGAATGGGCACCAGGCAGGTTGGAGCACAGGCAGCAAGCACGGCCAGAGCCCCAGCCTCAGCCACATGGAGTCCACCACACAGAAGCCGAGAAACTCCAGTTTCAGGATGGTCTCAGCATTGTTCTCCAAAATGTCTAGAAAAGGTTTTATGAACTTTAACATCCATTTTTATTAAAATTAACCTCCTTAAAAAGGCAATGATATAGGGGCTGGGGTTGTGGCTCAGTGGTACAGCACTTGCCTAGCATGTGCGAGGCACTGGGTTCAATCCTCAGTACCCCATTAAAAATAAATAAATTAAATAAATGTATTGTGTCCATCTACAACTAAAAAAATACATGTTTTTTAAAAAGGGTAATAGTATATAGGATGCATACCTATTAACATAGTAAAACATATGCATCCCAATCCAAATCTACTATCATGTTTAGTGATGAAATATAAGAAGAATTTCATTAGAGTGAGAAAAGACAGAGATATCTTTGATTACCATCACTAGCCAACATTTTTCTGTATATAACAGCCAATTAGAAAGGCAACTAGAAAGGGAACTACCCTTAAAGTCTATAAATTAGAAAAGAAAAGGCCAGTGTATGTGCATAGGGTAGTATTATGTACCGGAAAGACCAAGGAGAAGCAACTAAAAATTCTTATAAACAAGAAGATTCAGCAAGTAAATAAAATTCAAATGTCCAGAAAGTAGTAGTTCTATTTATAAACAACAAATTAGAAAGGCTACGTATTTTTCCATAGAAATACATTTTTATATGTGCAAGACCTATATGATTAAATGCTTAAAATTACATAAAGACCTAAAAAAGGACTTGAACAATTGAAAAGTCATAGCATATTCTTTGACAGGAATACTCTATTTCATGAAGATGACACACCTATAAATTTAACATAAAATCACTAAAAATACCAAAATAATTTTTTTAACTAGACAAGCTGATTCTAAAGTTTATTGGAAAAAAAATAATACATAAAAATAACCAGGATAGGGG